GAGGGTGACATGATAGCTGAGTACAGGGACTTCTGGGACTCTGGAAGATAGAGTAGCTGAACCACTCAGGGCAAAGTCACCCCCAGTCAAACCCACCTCGGCTCAGCTGACACCTTTTTATCAGCATTGTGCCAGAGAGCTTGTATGTCACGCATAAATCCTTGGAAAGAGCCACAGGAACCTCAGGGAGAGGGAACTGGAGGATTGGTTCTCTTTTACTTGTGTAAAGGATCATTACAAAGGGTGGTGAAAAGGCTCGGATGCTGAGCCAGGAGCTCGTTGACTGGATAAATTACCAGTGGGAACATTTTCAGGTGCTTCCTTTTATACCACTTTGCCAAGACTTCTGCTCTGAGAACTCCTTAGGAACGGGGATTACTGTTAGACTGGTCAGTCTGCCAGACTCTGGCGAACAAGCTGCGTCTCGACACAAAGTATTGAGTTTGCTGCACCACGCACCTATTTTCAGTCACTGTTCAGATTTAGAAACTGCACAAGATTTTAGAATCATAGAATCATAGAATCATAGAATCGTTAGGGCTGGAAGGGACCTTCAAAGGTCATCTAGTCCAACCCCCCTGCAAGGAACAGGGATATCTCCAACTAGATCAGGTTGCTCAGGGCCTCATCCAACCGGGCCTTGAACGTCTCCGGGGATGGAGCATCCACCACCTCTCTGGGCAACCTGTTCCAGTGTTCTACAACTCTCATGGTAAAAAATTTTTTCCTAATATCCAACCTGAATCTACCTCCCTCTATTTTAAAACCATTACCCCTTGTCCTATCACAACTGGCCCTCCTGAACAGCCTCTCCCCATCTTTCTTGTAGGCCCCCTTGAGGTACTGGAAGACCGCTATAAGGTCACCCCGGAGCCTCCTCTTCTCCAGGCTGAACAGCCCCAACTCTTTCAGCCTGTCCTCATAGGAAAGGTGCTCCAGCCCTCTTATCATCTTCGTGGCCCTCCTCTGGACCCTCTCCAACTGGTCCATGTCATTCTTATGTTGGGGACTCCAGAACTGGACGCAATACTCCAAGTGAGGTCTCACGAGGGCAGAGTAGAGGGGGAGAATCACCTCCCTTGACCTGCTGGCCACGCTCCTCTTGATGCAGCCCAGGATGCGGTTGGCCTTCTGGGCCGCAAGAGCACATTGCCGGCTCATATTGAGCTTCTCGTCCACCATTTTTTTCAGTTTCTTGGCCAGAACAGGGACAGGGCCTGCGTGCACACACGCTTCAGCTCCCCAGCAGTAGTTTAGCCTCCAGAGCACCTGCGGGCAGCACCAACACGCCAGAGATGAAGGCTCATAGAGTATTGTGGCAGGTGCTCGAGTTCATCTCAAGACTCCTTCAGTGCAAAGAAATCTGAAATGTAAAGGGAGTGGGGGAAAGGAGCGTGAATGTGGCTCTGCACAGGTAATAGTCCGAGAAGTCTTTGTGCTTCGAAATGGCTGCATGTCCCTACTCGGAGATATCACTGAGAAGAGTTCATTGATCTCAGCGGAGGGTAGCAAGAGTCACAGCATGGGTTCGCTTTTCTCCTGTATTTATGGTTCAGTTGATCCATTAGTCCTATCTGGACTTCAAAGATCTTTTCATGTACCTCCTGGAAATGTGCCTTCCTTAAGTTTTTCCCCAATTTGCTGACTGCACTGTACAGCCCACACAACCAAAGGGAGATTTTTATCTGGTCATGTTATATGTCATTTGATTGTTATTCCTGACTCTAGGCCAGTGCTTCTAGCACTGTATATTCATTTGGCTCCATCACCTCAAAGGCTATTTTTCCTCTTTGTACTTTGTCTGTCAGCTTTTCGGAAACAGGAACAAGGCAGAAAAAATGCAGTTAAGTTTTGCAGTTCATTTCTTAATCATTTAGAAAACATCTCAGGATGGGTATCTAGTTTTTAAACTTTCCTCCTATTTTGTCTATCCCAGCTTTGTTTTACTCTAGAAAACGCTTTTTCTCTCCTATTTCCAAATAGCCCCTGCCAAGAATTGAGGAAATTGAATCAGAACAGCACATTAAACTGTCACCGGAAGTGTAACACTCTCCATATTCAGATGAAAGGAGAGTGGACGCTGAGCAGACCTTGCACTGATGCAGGCAAAACTCTTGCACAACCTGTTGGGTTTTGACGGGCAGCTCCTGGGGCTCTCAATCTAGGAGCAGGAATCAGCACCATCAAATGACACACATGAACAAATGGGAGAGGTGGAGGGACAGCAAAAGGCAAAGTACAAGGATGAGATGCCTTATTCCCACGATTTAGAATGAAAAAAACAGCAAGGCAGATTTATCTGTTGGACAGCTCTATTGCCATCCAATGAGGTACCCTGGGGAGGTGCTTTGTGCCCCCAGCATAGAAGGGCCCAAAATGCCACTGGCCACTGCACGCACAGCTCCATCTACAGAGCAGTTGGCCTTCGAGCAGACAGAGAAGACTGTGGGAAAAACAATTTAAAACCTCCTCCTGTCACCAGAACCGGGCTGGAGCAAGGTGGCAGCCGATCAGCGTTATCCTTTGTGACACTGGCAGTGGAGCAGCACCAGACAACGAGCTCTGAACACAGTTCCAACTTGTTTTTGAAGGCAGCCGTCCTTGCAAGAGCACACAATGGGTGACGTTTAAGGAACCCTTGCCTTAGTCAAACAACCAGAAAAGCGGCTCAAGACTCTCCTACATGGAGCTCTTGTGCTATAAGTACCATAAAGAAGGAAAAAAAAAAAAAAAAGACACAGTATTTGCTTTGGCTTGTGCAATGTTTTTGCATGCACAGCAGCCCTGTCTCAAGGTTCTGCATGGAGATGTGTATCAAGAAGGGCTCTGCTCCAATCTGAGCTTGAGGTTTGTCAGCATAAGCACTCTATAGATTAGACTCTTGGTTTTGATAAGTTCCTCTGCTCTGCTTCTACTTGAACAGAAGCTGCATGAGGAATTTATTGTGCTAGTAGGAGGAGGTTTGCTCTCTACAGAAAATGGAGAAGTTGGAGGTCAGAAATTTGAAATTTAGGCAAAGTACAAAGGTGCTAATGGGAGAGAGCGCAGTGAGGTTGGGCAGCTTCGGTGAGGTAGCAAAGCAGGACCTGATTTATTCCAGTGGTGCACTGAAGCCCAGCTGGTGGCTGTGGTAAGCTGCAGGTTATGGAGCAAAGGAAGTGGTTGGTGGCACAGTGTAAACAGGCCATTTTCTGTAGGCTCAGCACTGCTGGCAAGCTGCCACAGCTGAACAGCGGTGCAGTGCTGCAGGGCAGGTTGCTGCTCCGGCACCAACCATGCAAGTGCTCTCAGGGCGAGAAGAAAGCTGCTGTCAGAGACTTCGCTGGCTGGAGAGCAATAGGCTCTCTTCGACAAACTTAACCAACAAAAAATTAGGTAAGAAGACAAATATCCTCTGCCTGAAAAAGTTTTGGGGCAAATCTGCTTTTTCACCGCTGACATTTAGGATTTCCTGCAGCTTGGAAGAACAGAAGGTAAAAGGGACCGGCTTGCTTGGCTGCGTTAGCTCAGCCCAGAGGGATGTGCATCGCAAGCTGTGGTTCCTGGTGCCCTTTTGAACTAAAGGACAAGTTTACTCAGGAAACAAACACAGAAGAGGCAGCTGGCCCATTCCCCAATATCAGCAAGTCCAGCTGAAAGGATGTGCGAGGGTGGTTTGAGCAGCGACTTTCACCTTTTCTGAGCACTGTAATGACTTGCGCTTCAATGACTGACACCTCACACCCAGCGTACCACGCAGCCATCTCTGTGGGCGGTGTGAACCACCAGAGCTTAACAAGAAGGGAAAAAAAAACAGTTCTGCAAACTGGAACCCTCCTCATGGCTTGTACCTGGAAGGTCACACGGATGGGAGAGGACAGGAAGGCGGGAGGGGTACGACGGGGCGCAGGCGAGAGGTTGTGAAGGGCGCTGCACAGGTGTGGGGGATGAATCAGTGTCCGCTTCCTTCCCAATCCTGTTTACAGATCCAAACAGAGCTACAACACGTGGCAAGCGTAACCATTAACTTTACTGGAGTATCTGACATGACAGAAGAGTAGTGGCACACAACAGTATTTAAGGCGTTACTCAGACTGCGCACTCCGCTCACCCCGGGGCTGGCCAGCACAGCTCTCCCTGCCACCAAAGCTGGGCCAGCCACGGCAGCTCATCCGTGGAGACAGCCTGGCTTGAGGGGCTTCCATTGGGCTGACGAAGCTGCTCCGGGGAAAAGACAGGGCCCTGATAGGGTTTGCAGAGGGGGACAGTGTGGTGGGCAGCAGCTTCACCTGGAAAAGCAGCTTCTCTCAGCTGTGCAGGCTGTTCTGTGTAGAGCATGGCATGAGTCCATGGTTGAGGATCTTTATTCACAGGGCTAACCCCATCCTCCCCAGAAGAGGGGGGCCGCACTTGGTACCTGCACAGCCCCCCTGCTCCTGGGCACAATGTCCCTTTGCTCCCACGGGTGGCACAGCAGCCTCTAATGGCCAGAAGCTCCAAGAGTCCCAGCAGGGCCCCCACCAAGGGCTGGTTCCTGACCTGTCTCTTTACTGAAAGAGCAAAAAAAAAAAATCTTCCAACTGAGCGTGTTGCCAAGTGAAAGCCATTTCCAACAAAGATTTTTCCTTGCTTCAGACAGATCTGTTCTACCATACCCTCAGGAACTCTTTGCCCTTTCTATAGCACTGTGACCTGGAAAACTCAAAACAGGGATGAAGAGGGAAGTGCTGACTGGTCCCATTTCCCACACAGACTGAATTGCCTCTGTCCTCAAGCAGATCCAGTGGTGCTGGAGCAAGAAAGAAAAGCCTATAGGCTACAGCTCACATACTTGTAGTGGACAAGAGGGGAAAGCAGCTCACTGCAGTCTAAGATGTAGTTTTCTTCCCTTCTAAGTTGCAGAAAGGCTGTGATTGAAGTGCATTTTGTGAAATGGTGTTTCTGTATGATGTTTAGGAGAAATGGTGAAATACTACAAAAAGCCTGCACAAACCCATCCATTGTACTCAGAGTATAACCCCCTAAACCTGGCTGGCCTGCTTTAGGAGCTGGTGCTTGAAATGCTCCAGTAGTTCAGGTGCAATCTTATCAGCGGTCAAGTTCTTGGCGTTCAAGATCCCTTCGTGGGCTTCCTGGAAGAGCTGCTTGCCCACTGCTTCTTCCACCCGCCTGCGCCACTCTGCCAACTTCGGCCTCTCCTCAAAGAGGTCGTAGCCAGCACCCACAGGCTGCAGAGAGAACGAGAGGACCCGGGAGTGAGTCACACAACACATTTACCAGGGATGGGACCAGAACGAAGCACAGATATGCTTTTGGCTCAAGGCAGCAGCCAGTTGTCATATTAGGTTCTTAGCTCACAGGAAACAAGTGTAGTCATCCTCAGCAGCTGCTGTCCCCTGGGACACGCAGCGAGAGAGCGCTGCCACGGCGAACCCGAGAACTGCCTAATGCAGAACACGGAGGTCCGTGCGCACCAACACATCTCTTCCAAATATCTGTACTTTCGCTGCCTAGTTTGTGATTTTTTTTTCTGAGGAATTTTGTCCATACTTCTATAGAGAGAACTGTCTCACCAAAGTAGTGTTCCCTGGCAAACTCAATATGGTCAAAGTCAGAAAGGAAGAAGATTTAAGTCTACTAAAGAGTTAACTGCAGGGAGACAGATCTGCCATTGAAGAGGTGGTGGTGCAGCAGTCACACCTCACCCAGCCTGCCCTCAACCCAACTTGCATATCCAACAGGCTGGGGCTGATGCTCACCTGCATGAGCTCCACCAGTGCTACAATGTCTGCCAGGGAGATCTCGCTGCCTGCGATGAAGGGCTTGTCCTGCAAGAACTTCTCCTCAAACTGCTTCAGGACAACATTCAGCTCTTCAGTAACACCTTCCAGTTTCTCTGGAGGAAGTGGCTGGCCTGTGAGGAGAGGCATCAGCACCTGGCAGGGAGAAGAAACAGGTTGCTTTTTACATGTCTCCCTCCAGACTTAGTCCGGCCCTCTCACTGCCGCCTTCTGAGGACCCCTCACCAGCCCCGCACGAGAACAAGCAGTGCTGCTGATCTGCTTTGGCAGATTGACGTTAATGTCAATCGTTACTTCCTGCCTGTCCTTGTCTCCTGCCTAGAAAGTCTGAAATTTCAAGCACGAGAGTCTCCTCTCATCTGCAAGCAACTGCGTTTCGTGCTCCCATAGGAGGTTCGTTCTTTCCGTGAAGTTGGGCAGCGCCGGCGAGCTGTGTCTGGTGTGAGCTGCTCACCAGGACAGGTTTGCTCTGGACTGCGTCTAGAAGCGACAACAGTCCCGCAGACCTCTGCAGGGCTGTGGCGGCAGCACGAAGGATTCAGGCAACCAGTTAGGCTCAGCTGAGCAGCCAAGGCAGTTCCTATCTGTCACCTGGCTTGTACAGTTGCTTAGAAAGGCCCTGCATGCAGGAGGTGCTTCCTGGGGCAGAGTGCTCACAGCTCTTACCATGTGGTTTTTGGTATATAATGGTCTTACCTTCGTTAAGAACAGCTTGCTCCCCTTCCCGCGAATGTTGATGTGCTGCCACGACAGGTACTCATCAACCCTGGCCCTCTTCTGCAGGTCAGATGGGTACCAGTGATCAGGAGTCTTGAATTTTCGCACCAGGTACAGGAGGATGGCAATGCTGCCCGGAGAGCAAGACAGACCCGAAAGCTGGTCATCTGAGATTAAAGCACCTTCTTCCCCCAAACTGTGCACTGCTGCACCAGCAGCAACACAACCCTGGCCCGAGTCCGGTGTAAGTGCAGGACATGCAGCTGCTGGCGAGGCACAGCACGTGAGAGTTTGTGCTGGCCTGACCGGCTGCCTGCGGACAGCGACTGCACGATGCATCAGCCCAGCGAGACAGACGTGGCCTGCCGGGACAGTTACCCCATCAACATTTTTGAGCGGATATGAGCTGCAGAATGAGGTTATACCAAATCCGAGCCTTGCGTTGCCTGGCCATCCAGCAGCAGCTGCCTCGTGTCAGATTTACTGCCTTGACCTTCAGCCTCCAGCTGACGGCAGAGAGCAGGAGGACAGATGGACAGGTATTTAAGCTCAGAAACATTGCCTACGTGCAAGCTAGTTCCCAGCAGCAGATCACAGATTTTTCCACTATCAACGCTGTCCGAGTTGCTTACATGAGAAATCTTCTCTTGAAACACAGGTTTATGTTCGGTACGAGTGGAACAGATAGGAAGGAGGCAAACAGCTACCTGGGCTGGAGCCCCACTAGAGACTGAACAGCACGCTGGCAGAACCCAAGCACTAGGATAAACAATTCTGCAGTAGGAGTTGGAGCTTATTTGAGCCTCACCTCTCTGCTAAGGTGAAAGAACCGTCCTTTAACGCGGGCACCTTCATCAGGACGTTCACCTTCCGGAACTCCTCTGTCCTGTGCTGCCCTGAGGAGGGAAATGAGAAGTTTTACTTGGCAGTGATGCTCAGGACCTGTCTGCAAACACCTGAGGAGTCTGTGGGGACCACCTGGCCTCAAGTTCCTGGTTTTGCTTGTACAAATACAGTCTTGTTTAAAAGCAATCAACAAGTGCCTCAGGGTGAATACGGGTTTGCCTTATGATGTCAGCTTATTTGCTTATTGCCTGCATACCAGAACAACCTCTCAAGGCAGGTCAGAATGGTTAAGAGTCCTTTCATACCAACGGCACTTGTCAGCTCAGGGCTCTATCAACTCTAAGTTTGTGCCTGTCCCGTTGAACAGAAAATTTATATACATAGAATCATGCCAAAGTCCTGTGAAATGTAGATTATAATAAGAACACAACATTCATTGCAAAACATTACTAACTATATCAGTCATGAGCTGACCATTGCATAAAAAACCCTAATGAAATAGCTAAGCTTGCAGAACCAAAGGAAGTTAGAAGGAGAATTGAAAAAGCTGTGACAGCAGCTCCTGACTGCGCATGCGACAGAACAAAATTCACTGAACTAACACGGCGAGGAAGAGTATTTACTTCCTCCCTCGACCAGAAGACCACCGAGATGAACAACTACGCATGCGAGGCAAATATGTAAATATCCTAATGATTTCCAGGAAATCTCATGAATATGTAAACTAATTCTCAGAAAAGTGATTAAATATGTATGACTTAACAACATATATGCTCTGTAACTCTGCCCAGTGGGCACACACTTGTGGTGGAGTGATCCCCAGTGCTGCCCAGCGCTGCAATAAAGAATATCTGCTTTCTAAAACTCCAAAACGGGTCTTGGAAAGTTCGATTGCACTGACTTTTCAAGTATCACTGTACAAACCCAGAGTGAACACCGAGCACCTGGGAGGAAAGGGATCTCAGTATCAGAAATATGAACCACAAGGACAGTGATAAAGCAAGGGATTTTTTTTTTTTCTGGAAGATAACATAATTTACATTCAACTCTCTTTTTAGTCCTCAGATGAAATAGATTTTTGTGATTCCATATAAAGCCATGGGTACTTTATTACAGATCTCTCAATCAGCTGATTACATGGGTTTTGTATATCCTTTATCAGAGCAAATATGGATTTGAGTTTGCTTTTAAGCTACCTTTCAGCTGCCCCCTGAAAGGCAGGCAGAGTGAGCCTGAGAGGAGAAGGTGCTTTGTTCATCTGAGGTCTCAGCATGCTCTATTACATTTGAACTCAGTCCCAGAAGCCTTGTTTTATGTGACTCATTCGTGCCAGCCTTTTCCAGCCCCTGGCTTCAAGTCATATGTGTGTACCTCTGTATTCAAGTTTCCCTAATGTCTAACTCCATGACATGTTCTGCTGTGTGAGTCACCTGAGAATCTCTGTGCCAGAGGAGATGCTCTGGAAATGGTTTTAGCTTTCCTAGTACTTGGCAAACCTGATCCGTGACTACCCTTGTCACTTGGCTCACAGCCCGTCTCCCCCAACCCCTTACAAAAAGACATCGGGATTTCCTGCATGTGGTGTGCAGATTCCAATCCTCAGGTGTCCCTGGAGTGTCATGTGATTTCTATCCGTTC